CGGCTTCTTCTCCGTCCGGCAACAGCAACAATGAATCGTCTTCAAGTGGTTCTTCAAGGGATTCGACGCACGAGTTCAACATAGAGGTCTTGGACCCGTTGACGTCCGAGGATTTTGCAGGGCTTCCTCTCCCTTCCACAGGCTGCTTGCCGAGACCGCAATGCGCAATAATATGCGCTCATCTCCACACATACTTGGCCTTCTATGCACCACCACCTTTGCCAACGAATAACGAAGCTACGGTGGGGGACATCTTTGCGTATGTTAGCAAGGTGGCCCGCGAGTTTCGCACACAGCGGTACGATGATAACAACGCAACGCTCCTTTATGTCTGCATCCAAGTTGGGCATGCTTTCTGCAACGCTTTGTTGGATAGCGGCGCGACTCGCAATTTCATCAGCTAGTCCTTCATCCAAAGGGCCGGCCTTGGCGCACAAGTTCGAAGGAAGCCAAACTCGACAACGATCAAGTTGGCGGATGGTCGGACGCAACAACTCCTCGATCGCTACATTGAAGTTGTGCCGGTTTATTTCGCACCTCATGCACGCGAACCGGTGACGTTTGACGTCTTGGACACAGACTTCGATATCATTTTGGGAATGCCTTGGTTTGCAAATACGGGTCACACGGTTAACTTCCATTGGCGGACACTTACCGTTCGCGACGCCTTTGGCGCCGAGGTGCCGTGTACAATTCCTCTTCCGCACCCCTCGATCCGGTGCCAAGTTGTAACGGCCAAGTCTTTTCGGGTCACTTACGCTTACGAGCGGATTGACAAGATAGGCCTATGTTTTCTACGAGCCGCCACGACGATCGAATCTTCACCTACAGACTTGTCTTCGGACCCCCGAGTGGTGCAGCTGCTCGATGAGTTCACCGACATCTTCGAGTCTCCTACCGGTGTGGTGCCCGATCGACCGATCTCCCACGAGATCATTCTTGAGGCCGGTGCCGTGCCGCCAAAAGGATGCATCTATCGCATGAGCGAGGAAGAGCTCATGGTTCTCCGCGCGCAACTCGATGATCTGTTGGACAAGGGTTGGATCCGCCCTAGTAGCTCACCATACGGTGCGCCAGTTCTCTTCGTACGAAAGAAAAACAAGGATCTTCGCTTGTGCATCGACTACCACAAGCTCAACGCACAAACCGTCAAGAATGTGGGACTTCTTCGACGGATTGACAACCTTCTCGAGCGTTTAGGCGGCGCGAAATTCTTCTCAAAGTTGGACTTGAAGTCGGGCTATCACCAAATTTCGATACGCCCGCAAGATTGCTACAAATCCGCGTGCAAGACACGGTATGGGCATTTTGAGTGGATCGTTATGCCTTTTGGCCTCACCAATGCCCCGACGACTTTTCAAGCGGCAATGACCAAGGAGTTTCGTGCGATGTTGGACCGGTTCGTACTAGTCTACTTATACAACATTCTCGTCTATAGCTGGACATTGGAGGATCATCTTGAGCACCTTCGACGAGTGTTGGAGACGCTCGGCCACACCAAGTACAAAGCCAACCGCGACAAGTGCGAATTTGTCCGGTAAGAGTTGGAATACTTGGGCCATTTTGTCACACCGGAGGGCATCAGTCCGCTGTCGGACAAGACTCAAGTCATGCAAGAGTGGCCGGAGCCGAAGAACGTCACAAATGTCCGTTCCTTCCTTGGCTTAGCCGGCTACTATCAACGTTTCATCAAGGGATACTCGAAGATCACGACTCCTTTATCCAAGCTTCAAGGCGAGGACCGACCATTCGACTTCGACGACAATGTGTGGACGTCCTTTTTGGCTCTAAAAGCCGCATTATTATCTGCGGAGGTGTTGCGCATCTACGATCTGCTTCTGTTGACACATGTCACTACCGATGCGTTCGGCTATGGCATTGGTGCCGTCCTCGAGCAACATGATGGTGTGGACTGGCACCCGATCGAGTACTTTAGCAAGAAAGTGCCCGTCGCGCACTCGCTTGACGACGCACGTAAGAAGGAATTATTGACCTTCGTACACTCGCTCAAGCGCTGGCGGCATTTTCTTCTCGGTCGACGGCAGTTCCGATGGGTAACGGATAACAATCCATTGGTCTTCTACAAGACCCAAGACATTGTCAATAGCACGATCGTCTGTTGGATTGCCTTCGTCGACCAGTTTGACTTTTTCCCCGACCACATTGCGCGCAAGTCAAACCGTTTTGCAGATGCTCTTTCACGGCATCCGGATCATTGTACCGCAGTCTATTCGACCTTCGAGATCGGCGACGACCTGTGGGCCAGCTTCATCCGCGACTTCCAAGCCGACCCCGAGTTTCGCGACAAGTGTGCGAATTGTTCCTCTCCTAATCTGGCACCTTCTCACTACCAGATCCAAGAGGGATACTTGCTTGTCCACACGCGGGGGAAGGACCTTCTTTGCATACCGAGTGACTCTCACTTGCGCACACGGCTTCTTGGCGAGTTCCGCGACGCTCCCGCCACCGGACACTTTGGAGTCAATCGTACGGTTGGCTGACTCCGCGAGCGTTTTTGGTGGCCCGGTCTTCTCGACGACGTCACACGCTATTGCGAGTCATGCGAGGTTTGCAGACGGTGCAAATCCCGCAATCACCATCCGTACGGCGAGTTGCGACCATTACCAGTCCCCTTGCGCCGAAGGGAAGCGATTACCATTGACATTACCGGGCGGTTCCCCAAGCACAAGACTGGTGTGGATGGGATTCTCAAGGTGGTCGACCGACTCACCAAGTTTGCCATGTTTTTGCCTTGCCGCTATCATGCCAAGGCACCGGAGTTGGCCGAGGTTCTTTACGCCAGTTGGATTCGCATGAAGGGTTACCCCAAGGAAATCGTTTGCGACCGCGACACTCGGTTCATGTCCGATTTTTGGTTAGCGCTCATCAAACGACGGGGCTCATCTCTCATGCCAAGTTCGGCTCGCCATCCCCAAACCGATGGCCAAACGGAGAGGGTGCATCAGACCGCACAGGTTCTCCTTGCACTCTCATTCGTCCCGACCAAAAGGATTGGGTTGAGCGGCTGCCGGATGTCGAGTTGGCATACAACTCGTCCATCGACCCGACTATCGTTATGTCGCCCTTCGAGTTTGAGCACGGCTTGCCGGTCACTTCTCCGTTGGACACAATCATTCCACGAACGGATGAGAGTGGCGACCATCGTATTTTCTTGCGACGGATGCAAGAGCTACTTGTCAAGGCACGTGACCAGATGGCTAAGACGCAGCAACGCATGAGCCAACAGGCCAATCGCCAGCGTCTTCCTTGCCCATTCCGCGCCGGCGATCTCGTCTGGGTTTTCGCCGTGGAGTTCAGCCTCGAACAAGATCTCTCTCCCAAGCTCCTCCCGAGATGGATGGGGCCCTGGCCGATCGTGGCACCCGCTGGGGATGCACGCGAAGGACGTTCTTTCACCATTCAGGTACCCGCCCACTTGCCCGTCTACGCGGTCTCTCATTGCTCCAAGTTGGCTCTTTACACGCCAGTGGAACATGACGGTTTTCCCGGGCGACGATCGCAAGACCCACTATGGACGGTTTTCAAGAGGTCGGCAACATCATCTCCGAGCGACGCTACGGCAACAGGCCAACCGAGTACTTGGTACACTTTGCGTACTGCACTCACAAAGCTGACCGTCGGTTGACCCGTGCGGAACTCCAAGCAACAGCTCCAGATGTTCTCACACGATACGAATGCAAGATGCAAGGCAAGCCGGTATCTTCGGCTCCACGTTGCACCCGCGTCCAGGTTACACCTTCAGATCGTCAGCTTCGCCCTTGACCCGGCTTGACTTCATAAGGATGGGGGGGTGTTACATGCTGCGCCTGCAACAGGCTGCACGGGCCATTTTCCGGCCCGTGTCGTTTTCAGCCCAAAAGCCTGAAAACAAGGGCCTACAGGCCCTGTGTCGTTTCAGCCTGAAAGCCTGAAAACAAGGGCCTACAGGCCCTGTGTCGTTTCAACCTAAATCAGGGCCTTTCCGGCCCTGAGTCTTTTCAGCCTGAAACTGAGGGCCATTTTCAGGCCCTTATAAGATCGACCTGCCCTGAAACTCGGGCACCAGACCAGGGTTTTAGCTCAGGCCATTTTTGGCCTATTTTCAAGACAACTTTTGTTTGAGCTTCAACCCCAGGGTCTGGCACATTTTGGCATTGGCAAGAGCAGCCTCCTGGACGGGCCAGCAGAATATAAGACTGGCCCGCGCTGCACACTGCAGGTAGTTCATAGGGACTTCCCAGGCACTTCACGTGCAGTTCAGGAGGCAGGAGGTAGTCTTCAGGATTCGGCAGCAGCGCTCTGGAGGAGCGCTGCAGGAGTAGAGGTAGCGCTAGCAGTAGTCTTCAGCGCTGGGCGCTAGTAGCAGCTAGAGTAGTACTGGAGAGAGAGAGAGATTGGGCGGAGGCCAGGGATACTTACCTGCAGCGCCATAGCTCCAGCTTCGTCTTCGAGGTACCTGCAGCACAGCGCCAACTTCACAAGGTAGTACCTGGCACGTGAGAGAAAGAGAGAGAGTTCTTCTTCTTCCTCTTCTCAGTCCACCATCTCCGTCTCACCCTCTCGCTATCTGACTTCACTGCATCAGCAGACCAAGAGAGAGAGAGAGAGAGAGAGAGAGAGCCAGACTCGACATTGGGCTTCAGACATTTCGACGAGGGACTATTTGGGACTTGTAACAAATACTTGGTGTTGACGACATTCCCGTCTCCCCCTTCCTCTTCGTTTGATCCCCTCCTCTTCGTCTGTGTATGATCTGGAGTCTGGACCTGGCGCACTCTTCCTGTGTGTAGCGCCAGGCCCCTTCACACCTCGTGATGTGGATGATGTATGTTTGGTCTGTAATGCGACATTGATTGGGCTAGTCATTGGTTTCCTAGCATTCTGCTGCGCTGGCTTGCACTACGTGAGAGAGGTCAGTCCCGGTCAGGTCAGGACTTGTATCTAAGTCTTCCACTGCGCTATAAAGCACCATTCTTGTATGTATCGGAATGCACACTGCTTGTTGGGATTCTACTTGCACTGCATTGTGCATTCAGTCCTTTTTATCACATTGCGGATCCTTGGTTATATATGTACATCGCGCAACTGGGCATGTAACAGTAATGAACCGTTTCCATCTCACAGATCTATGATTCCCTCGGATATGGATGGAAAGTATGATGTAGATCGGATTGTTGGGGAAGATGTTTACAGATCTGGGCGCAGGGGTAGACCACTGCGGCAGTATATGGTTAGGTTTGCATATCAGGAACCTTCTGAAGATCGCTGGTTTACGAGAGACGAACTAATTGAAACAGCACCGCATATTGTGTCTTATTATGAGAAAGCTAAAAAGGATAACTTTCTCGGGGGACCTCGAAATTAGGCCAGCGAGAGTGAAGGCCTTCCACGATTCAGACGTCAAATTCGAATTTCAGGTTCAAGGTCTTAGGCCAGGGAGGCGAAGTCGGTCAGTTTCAGAAAAGTCACAGTCGGGTACCTTAGGAGTCAAGTCCAACAGGCACCCAGTGAACAGTCACCTCCCAGGGGCAAAAGTCACGTCTCATTTTGAAGAGTCATGCTGAAAAGTCATCCTCTGCAGGCAAAGGACACTTTTCCGAAGCAAAAGTCTTGTCCCAGTGGCAAGAGTCACAACCCGCAGTCAAAAGTCATGTTCCATAAGTGAAAAGTCGTGACTCACAGGCCCAAGCAGCAGCACACCAGTTCGGGAAAGGTACCAGGCCCTGACATTCTGAAGCAAACAGGCCGTGGGGATGTGGTACCAGAACCAAGTCAAGCCCTAAGAAGCAGAGGCTGGGACGAGTTGAAGCTCAGTCCAAGACAATATAAGGACTGGCCAACCTCCCCATTCGGGAAGAATGCTCGTTCGCATGAAGTGTGGAAGTGCTGGTGCACTTGTGCGCTATTGTGAGGAGCGGAGCGCTGAGCCAGGGACCTGAGGGAGAGAGAGGGAGCAGCGATAGCTGCCCAGCGCTGGCAGAGGGAAGCAACCATAGCTGCACCAGTGCTTAGGACGAGTTGAAGCTCAGTCCAAGACAATATAAGGACTGGCCAGCCTCCCCATTCGGGAAGAATGCTCGTTTGCATGAAAAGTGTGGAAGTGCTGGTGCACTTGTGGGCTATTGTGAGGAGCGGAGCGCTGAGCCAGGGTGCTGCACTGTTAGAGGGGGAGAGAGGGAGCAGCCATAGCTGCCCCAGCGCTGGCAGAGGGAAGCAGCCATAGCTGCACCAGTGCTTAGTAGTTAGTAGTAGACCTCAGGAGAGTTAGTAGAGTTAGGAGTGGGTGTATTCAGAGTTGGTCCTTGCTTACCTGGTCTTCGACTCTCTGGCCTCCAGAGTGAACTTCGTGTGATCTCATTTGTGCATGATGTGCGTTTGTGTGTGCTCATTGGTGGTGAACTGAGAGGTTCGTTGCATACCGACCTACGACGATTCAGCCACGGACACTTCGGGACTCCGGGACCGGAACAGGGGTGTCTGCAGCGTGAACGCCCTGTGAGGAGTTTAAAGGAAGACTTGAATGCCCTGATCGTCACTTACACAATGTCAGCAAACAGAATGACTGTGACAATATTGATCCCACAGTTTCCTCCTGACTGCAGATCATGGACAAACAGAATGACTGTGACAATATTGATCCCACAGTTTCCTCCTGACTGCAGATCATGGACACAGGCTATTGAAGGGTCTTTTCTGTGTACCATCAATGTCCTCGTGTTATATAATTGTGGCAGTTTCCTTTGTTGAAATGGATGGCCGAGCCACTAGTCCAGAATCTTGTTGGGAGAGTTTTAGCATCATCAGCATATTGCTCGAAAAACCACGAAGAATCGAAGATGATAATTTGTGCTGCATAGCTTAATGGGGGAGGGTAAATCACGCTTTGGAATCAATGACATCAAACTGTGGTTAACTCGCAGAGAGTTACTAAAACAAGTCTGTTCCTTGTTCCCTTGTTTTTGCTTGTGTCAGTGATCCCCAGATGAGTGATACCTCATCCTCTGAGACCCATGCAGACAATGTGCACGGCAACCAGAAGTTGTCCCTTCACAATTACGCCAATGGATTTCAGATGTACCGAGGTAAGAGGATGGTGTGTATCAAACTTGGAAGAACTGAGAAGGAAAGAACAAATGTGTACGAATCATATATGGCACAAAAAACAACCAATGTTTTTCTTTCCTTTCCCATCTAAAGTATGTGTCATTGCAGGATTGAAGGAGGTGCCAATGTCCAGCCATATTCGCACAGCCATTCCAGCAAGGCACAAGTCCAGGACCACAAGTTTGAAACAAAAGCAGTTTCCTGCTTCGACATATGTATTTGTGTGATGACCCGACCAAACATGGACTGGAATACACGGCTGATTTCTGAGTTTTGCTCATAGACTGAATGCCTAGCTGAGTTTCCCACTTGCTACTAAGTTCTCTAAGTCTGTGTGTGTGCACGCTTGATGGACTGCATGTCTGTCTGAGTGCTGGTTGGCTTGAGTGTGTGTGTGGCCCGCAAGGGCACTTGTTCGTTCGTTGGGCCCGCAGGGCCGGTACTTACCATGGCCATGGCATTGAGGATGGCAGCGGGGGAAAACACTCAAGTGGCGGGGTAAGAGGCCCGCTGCACTTGAAGCAGCAGGACACACTCAAGTAGCAGGTAGGCCGGTACCACACCCTGAAGCGGTAGATGTGCCAGGTACTGGAGGCCAAGCAGACAAAAGTGGCATTTTTAGAGGCCCAGTAGTTGTAACCAGTCTGAGTCTAGGGCCTGTACGGGCAATATCAGAGTCTGCAATGATGTTTCCCTCCGAAAGGCAGGAGGTACCGGTTGCTTGGAAAGCCGAGCGGCCTGGAAGTCACCGCCCAAGAGGCAAGCAGGCCGCTATATCTCCAGGCCGGGCAAAGAGCCCAGCCTCATTGTCGGTGTGCAAATTTGGCGACACACTGGTTGGAGCGCTGGCTGGAGCAGCGCTGCTGGGGAAGAAGCAAGGACTTGGGAGGAGGAAGAAGGACAGGAAGGGGGAGGAGCGCCAGAGGTACTTACCTGGCTATGGTGGCAGCCATCTTCATCTCCTTGGTGGGCGCTGCAGCAGGGAGACCCCAGCTGGGGAGAGGTACACCAAGAAGCTTTGAGGCAGAGTCAGGCATGGCGGCCTGCGCTAGAGCAGCCATAGCTGCTTTGCGTTGTCCTTTGCACAGCAGGGCAAGGCCAAAGTAGGCCGCCATAGCCTCAGCCTATGAGAGTGAAGAGTGAGGGCGGCGGCCATGGCTATGGCGGACCTCAAGTGATACCTGCAGTAGAAGAGGGATTTGGACTTTGATTCTGGTTCAGCTATTCAACATTGTATTATTATTTCTTGTGTGAATAAGAGAGGAGGAGATAAGGAGGAAGAGAGGGTTGAGCGAAGAAGAAGAGCTTTATCATTTGTCTATGCTGGTGTACATCATCTTCTTCTTCTTTCTTACTTCTTCTTCTTCTAACCTTCTCTCTCCTCTCAAGTTCATTCATTTCTTTCTGCAATTGGACGGCATTGTACTATCTGATGTGTATCTCGAAATTGGCCAGGATCATAACATTGGTATCAGGGCGGATTCTACTTGCTGGTGAGAATTGACTTTGCTGCCCTAATGCTAACCTAACTTGGGGTTAGGGTTGGATGTAAGGGAAGTGGGGCAGCGTGGCTAAGGGAAGCTGCCCCCACCTGGTTAGGTCATGTGGGGTCGACATTGAACCTAACCAGGATGCTTGAGAGTGAGATTAGGGTGGCGAGACATTTCGTGGAGACTTCATGGGGCAACTTGGGAGAGGCGGCAGTGAGAGGCACTCACACCTGGAACCTGGTTCAAGGGAGACACTTGGCAAATTAAGGGCTGCCCTCAAGTGGGCGAACTTGAGGGACAGCGGCCATTCAGCATCTACGGACTGCAAGTTACTACTTTGTTCTTCAGCATCGGCGGGGGACCTGGCGTTGCACTTTGGTGTTGGAGTCAGACCCTCTTAGGAGATAGGGCACTAGTGTAGGGGTAGCGTTAAAGGGGTCAGGAGGATCACATGAGAGGGGGGTGAGTTCAATTCATCTCGAAGCTCAAGCCACTCAAGTAAGTGTCGTGCACCTACGGGATAACCATGTATGTGTGCATGGTATTGATTGTCCTGCTGGGGTTATTCTGGGTTTCTTTCTTACTCATCTGTGGTCTTGATCGTGTGATTGAAATGTGTGTGAACTACTACTCATCTGATGGATGGAGATATCTTGATTTGAATGTCGATTCCTTCTACAGTGCTTTGTCTTTTCATCTCTGAACGGCTGTAGTCTATAGGTTCTACCGAAGTTGAAACTCGTTTTCAGGATGGTAGAGGCAGAAACTTAGTCCAAGTGGGACTCCTCTTGGTTGGGACTTGGTCACGACCTACGTAGGGCCCCTGGAGACCCAGTGGGACCGGGCCCAAACAAGAAGAGCCCTTGGACCCGAATTTGTTAGACATTAGTCCATTCTCTTCCTGACTGAGATCCGGAGTTTATTATTGTCGGTTAGGACACCCACTGCCGAGGGGATCTCGGCTGAGACGTTTCGCATGCTTTTGATCGCACTGTCCGTGGTTTGACTTGCACCCTATACACCACTCAATTCTCCATTGTTGCATTTAGTCACTCGTTGTCTGATTTGTTGAACGGTCACAGAGCTGGTCAGACTGGACTCGAGAGGACCTCGTACGCAGTCTGATCAAACTAGGTCGCTGGATCAGACCTCTCCTGTGAATTTGTTTTTCTCTTTGTGGTTTGCTGCTCTCTAGTCCAAATGTAATGCCGCTCCGGCTAGGAGTTCTACCTTCTCTTCTTTGAACTTTTCAGTCTATTTCTTTTCCTGAGTTCATATTTTGATGCCCGTAGAGACTTGCAGACAAAAGAGAGAGAGAAGAGAGAATGAAAGCCCCCATCTTGACGGATGTGCGGAAATGGGCGATGTAAAGGTTTTTGTGGCCTTAAAGGCCCAACAGGATGCAGCCGTAGAGGACGATAAACCATTGTTCCAAACTCTCTACGAGAAGGCACTGGCAAGGGAAGAGAAAGCCAAGGAGGAAAAGCGGAAAACCGATGTTGTAGACCATGAGGCTGTCCTCGAAACAGTCTCCTCCTTGCCTGACATTGAGGTCAAGAAGGAGATAGTCGCATATGTACGTGCTCTTATAGATTGTCACCTGCTCACTGACGTCCCTGAACAGATCACCAAACTCTTGGCAAAGGTAAGCGAGCTGCGAGTAGAAATGGTCGAAATGACCAAAGAGCAAGATCAAATGCGACAGATGGCAAATCTGTAGAAGGATCAGATTCCTAATCCTCTCCCTCTACCTCCTGACTCCAATGCTGCTAACCAAACTGTCCTCGCTCCTCTCCATTCCTCTACTTCTTCTCAAAGTGTGGTTCCATCGGGACCTGCAGTAGGTGCAGACACTGCTGCCGCTACGGCAAGTGACGGCTCAGGAAATTTTGCAACTGTTGCAGCCTCGAGTTTAGAAACAGCAATCGTTGGTGCCGGCTACAGCAGTCCATATGTAGATAGGAAGGCGGTTCCCATACCGTCATAATACGACGGAAAGGAAGATGTTGAGTCCCGGATCAGCTCCATAAGAGCTTACTTCGAGGTGATGGGAGCTCAACCAGTGAGCCAGTCCTTGATCATAGGGACCAACGTCGAGCCCGTCGTACGAAGCTTCTTAGAAGTCCAAGCTACACAGGCCGAGTACACCAAGATCAATCTGACGCAGTGGCTTAAACCACCAGTACCTCGCCCTACTATTTTTCTCCGACGCGGCCGTTAACGCGCCGCGTCGGACGGGGGTCGAGCACTGAACGACCGGTACGAAGAAGGGAAAAAAAAGTCGAGAAAAAAAAAAAAAAAACACAAAAGAAGTAAAAAGTGCAAAAAAAAAGAAGAGAATGAAAACGAATGGGAAAAATGGGCGCCGCAGGGAGGGTGGGGGAAGAAAGAAAGAGAGTGRGTGAGAGAGAGAGAGAGCGAGAGGGCGCATTGTGGGGAGTGCCACGTCAAAATCGTCGGCCCTCTCTCTCTCTCTCTCTCTCTCTCTCTCTCTCACACACACACACCTCGACACCACCGCGCAGCTCATATGTCTCTCTCTCTCTCTCTGTCACACACACACACACACCTCGACACCACTGCGCAACTCATATGTGCAAAACGGGAAGATTCATTCCGGTTTTGCAAACATGAACTGC